AGAAAAATCAAATGCCCAGGTATAGTATAGGGGGTACCTTGCTCAATAGTAGCAACTGTGAAAGGGATCTCTGAGTCCTAGTAGACAACCACTTAAATATGAGTCAGCAGTGTGCTACAGCTGCCAAAAAAGCCAACACAGTCCTAGGCTGCATTAACAGAGGGATAGAATCAAGATCACGTGAAGTGTTAATACCACTTTACAATGCCTTGGTAAGGCCACACTTGAAATACTGCATTCAGTTTTGGTCACCACAATGTAAAAACGATATTGAGACCCTAGCAAGAGTACAGAGAAGAGCAACAAAGATGATCAGGGGATTGGAGGCTAAAACATATAAGGAACTGTTGCTGGAATTGGGTATGTCTAGTTTAATGAAGAGAAGAAATAGAGGAGACATGATAGCAGTATTCCAGTATTTGAGGGGCTGCTACAAAGAAGAGGGAGTCAAGCTATTCTCCAAAGCACCTGAAGGTAGGACAAGAAGCAACGGATGGAAACCAACCAACCAAAGAAGCAACCTAGAACTAAGGAGAAATTTCCTGACTGTTAGAACAATTAATCGGTGGAACAACCTGCCTCCAAAAGCTGTGAATGCTCCAACACTGCAAGTTTTTAAGAAGAGACTGGGCAGCCATTTGTCTGAAATGGTATAGGGCAGGGATGTCAAACTCGCCATGTCACGTGATGCAACATATCACAATTTTTTTTCCATAGCCGGCTGTGAGGTGGGCGCCGCTTCCGTATGATGAAACTGGCCCGCGGACCGGCAGTTTGACACCCCTAGCATAGGGTTTCCTGTCTGAGCAGGGATTAGACTAGATGACCTCCAAGGTCTCTTCCTACTACTACTACTACTACTTACTACTTCTTCTTCTTCTTCTTCTTCTTCTTCTTCTTCTTCTTCTTCTTCTTCTTCTTCTTCTTCTTCTTCTTCTTCTTCTTCTTCTTCTTCTTCTTCTTCTTCTTCTTCGTCTTCTTCTTCTTCTTCTTCTTCTTCTTCTTCTTCTTCTTCTTCTTCTTCTTCTTCTTCTTATTATTATTATTATTATTATTATTATTATTATTACTATTATTATTATTATTATTATTATTCAGCATAGTTAAAAGCTAATTCCTGAAAATATTACCTGTTGCTGCAAAGGCCCCTTGAATCCCAAATTTTCTGCCAGCCGTACTGCTTGAGTATCTTTTATTCCTTCAAAAATATCTATTTCTTCCTGTTACAACAAAGGGCACAAATAAAAATATTCAGCTGGAAAACAAATGTATAACTTCAATGGTTAAAAAAAATCCTTAACATATTTTGCAAATTAGCAATTAAAATTTGGCAAGTTGCCAAAATTCCAAGAATGCAGCTACAGGGTATGTTATAATTACCACACTCTCCATGAAAAGAGTCCCTCTGAAAATCGTGAAATTCTTCAGGGTGGCATGCTGACAAGGCAATCTGACACCAGTTTTCACTTTTAATTACTGTACAGATGGCATTGATGAATACATATTCTGCTAATTTTTATGACCAATTTAGACAAGGAACCAAAGCAATGTTTGTTAATGCCCAACAATATTCTTCTTCATGGTTCAGTTCAAATATGCATTATTATTATTGTTGTTGCTGCTATTTAAAGAACGTTATGTGTTCACCAAATTATAGACCAGTTCCATGTTAAGCTTTGTTACTCTCTCATTAAGCATTCTTTCATATAGTAGCCATTCCCCACTCCTATAATTTGAAATAATAGCAGACTGTCGTGTGAAAAGAAAAGGAATTTTGAGTAACCAATTTGTAAAATATAATGTTTATCCGCTGAGTGAATAGCGAACAATTTATAAATCAATAGAATCAGATGCTTTTGCTATTGTATGGTATTTGAAAGTACTATACCTCCATCAGACTACAGCACTAAACAAAGAAATTAAGACTCTTGACATCACAGATATCTAAATGGAGATGAATTTAAATAATCCATATTTCCTTTATAGTGTTACAGTCTATGATAAGCTGTATTCTCTGACTTTATAAACTGGCTCCCATATTTTAAAGAGTGCTTTTTGAGGCTACAAGTTTAAACCTATTTATCTGACTATAATTCCCATGATATACAATTAGACTTTTCTTCAACAGACATGTACTGCAAAAAAAGAATAAACTAACCAAGTCAGTATTTATTAGCTTGCAGAATTTACTCATTAGCAGAAGTCATTTACTTCTGTTATAAACTTTTCCAAAGTTATGTCCCACTTTGTACTACATTCAAATACGTTCGATCTACATGTAGTAAAATAACACTTCGAAAATGCTCATGTTCCATTCTGCTATAAATGTAGAGCGTGAATAAATATGTGGACCTCTTTTTTTTTTAAGATCTGCTATTCCATAAATTGGGTTGCCACCACACCTCCCTTCAGTACAATATTATTGTTCATACCTCCCCTTAAAAACTGAGCGATCACTGAAAACAATGCAATGAAACTTTGGGAAAGGTGGATTTATTCTAACAACATAACTAAAAGGCTTTTCACACCTCCTCTGGACTCCATCTGCACCTCCCCTAGGGAGGTACAGCTCACAGTTTGGGAAGTAAGCAGTAGCAAGATTTCTGCAAAGTAAGAATTTTTAATGGGAGATAAAGATGAATAGATTCATAGAGCGTGGGAACATCTGTACAAGCTCTAGCATAGGAGAATGATTACACCATTGTTCAAATAATATAAACCATGTACTTGGAAGTACAGATAGTCCTTTAATTCAGCTCCAAAATTTTTGTTGCTAAACAAGACAGTTGTTAAGTGAATTTTGATCCATTTTATGAACTTTCTGGCCACTGTTAAGTGAATCATTGCAGTTGTTAAGTTAGTAACATGGTTGTTAAGTGAATCTGGCTTCCCCATTGACTTTGTTTGTCAGAAGGTTGTAAATGGTGATCACATGACCCCGGGACACTGCAAACATCATAAATATGAATCAATTGCCAAATGTCTGAATTTTGATTATGTGACTATGAGGATACTGCAACGGTTGTAAATGTGTCTGAATTTTGATTATGTGACTATGAGGATACTGCAACGGTTGTAAATGTGAAAAATGGTCACAAATCACTTTTTTTCAGTGCCATTGTAACTTCAAACAGTTACTAAATGAACTGTTATAGGTTAAAGACTACTATATATAATTCACATAATTTGGGTGATAATGTCATGATGCACAGCAGTTATTGATGATCACATCCTGTTCGGGTTAAATATGTATCAAAATCTATAGGAATTTATTTATTATTTTATTCCAGCGGCTCCCAACCTTTTTTATATCCTGCACCTCTAAAACGGTTCTGATATATTCTCACATCCCTTACAAAAGTTCAAAATAACAGCAACGAATTATGCATATAAATTATAACTTTGAAAACCCAAGTTTTTGCACCCCCTGGAATATCATCTCGCATCTCTGGTTGGGAACCCGTTTTATTCATTAGATTTGTGTGCTGCCCATCTCATCTAACGAGGACTTTGGACTGCTTACAAACACTAAAATTAAATATTAAAAATCATTAGTTCCCCTTCTGGATGTTCTATATGCATTCTATATAAATGCATAAAGAACATCTGGAACATCTGATGAATGCTTTACAGATATGTTAAATCTTCTATATATAGTCACATCAACCCATATTTGATTATTACCTTGAAAATAAGTTCTGGAGTTTTAGCCGCTACTTCTTCTATATCAACCCCACCTTGTGGGCTCCCAACAAGAACAGGTCCATTGCAAGCTCGATCCATTAATATTGCAAAATATGTTTCTCTGGAAATGTTTAGAGCTTCCGCCACCATAACCTAAAATATGTAATTTGACAATATATTATTAGTATGCCTTGGCCAACAATACCCAACAGTCTTTGCATTTTATTGGCTATATAAGAAATAAAGTCTTCCAAATGAGGAAAAGTATCTACCATATGTAATAAACAAATGCCAGAGTTCAACCCACATTCTGGAATCCTTCAGTGATGTGTTATAAAATCAATTATTTCATTAACATTTGAGTACCTTATTATATTATCATCATGTATTTATATTATACCTTTCCATTTCAGCCTAGGGCAATCTGTGAGAGATGTGTCTATGGACGGGGGTTGGTGTGATGGACTACAGTGAAGGAGCAGTTTCCCAGAAAAGAGGGAGAACATTCCAGAAAGGCAGTGGGGGAGACAAGAGGCAGCACAGCACAGAGCTGGATAAGAGACGGGAAGAAAGTAAGGATAGCCTCTCCCTAGATCTCCCATAGTATATCCTTTAGGGCAGGAGTCCTCAATAATCTTGGCAACTTTAAGACTTATGGACTTCAACTTCCACAATTCTTTAGACAACTGCCAAGGCTGAGGACCCCTGCTTTAGGGTGAGAATAGTAGTAGCAAGATTCTGTTATTGTATGTAAGCAAATAAAGAACTGAACTCTACATGGATTGTTCCTGGGCTTGTCCTGGGAATCATCCACAATACAGATTATCCCCTATGGTGAAAACAGTGGCCCAATTTTGGGGAATTAGTGGGTATAAGAGGCTAATGCCCCTTAACTGCAGCAACCTCCATTAAATATGTGAAAAATAGAATCAAACAATTTCTAACTAATTATTCTAGGGCTGTACATTTCATGAGGGCAGCAGATTGTCTTCTTCTTCTTCTTCTTCTTTAGGCCTGAGGGTCACCCTTGCAAAACAGATTAGACTAAAGCACATCCACACCTATAATACAGCCCAACCATTTCACACTAAATGCACACAATACTTGCAGCACTGTTACAATTGTTACATATACATCAAGTCATTGGAATCTCATTTAGTACGTGAAAGAATTAATCCGAAATAATGCTTGTCAATAATTTCAGTAGTATATTAAGCAAACAACAAACATAATTCACACACTATAAACACTATGCGAAATTACGAATTGTGCCTTATCTTACGGTAATTCTTAAGATGGAGCAGCTATACTAACCAGAATAGGATAGCATCTTAAAGGCATGCCAGCTTTAATAACCTCAGTAAGATATTTATAACATGGGATGGTCTTCCTTATTCAGCCTTCTGACAGTAATAGATATTAAATGATATCTTTATTGCAATTCTATATTATCTGTTCTAGGGAAATGCTTTGGGCATAGAGAGAAAAAGATAAACACGGAGAAAACAAAATACATACAGAATAGTGCCAATAAAGAAAAATGATTGCAGGAAGGGAAAGGGAGAGATGGGTGGGGAAGATAGGTTATGCTCAGCTTGAATTCAAGCATGGTGGCAGCAACAAGAAGCAAAAAAATTGCTGGGCCACATTTGAACTGAAACATGGCAAATATATATATATACATGAGAGTTTGGTGTAGTGGTTAAGACATCAGGCTATAATGGCTTCACAAGGCTATCCAGAATTTATCCAAAATTTGGAACTAGAGGTTCCAGATTTCAGCTGGAAATCCAAGCCTGGTTGGAACATGTCTGCCCAAATCCTAAAACACGATGTACCCAAAACAAGGTTTGGTTTTCATTTCATGCCCACCTCTAACCATATCATCTGGTAAAGCAATACTGACATTTAATATGAAATTCACCTTTCATTTAAAAAGTGAAAATTGTCCCTCTGGTCCAGAGAGAAAATATTGAGTGTTAGCTGTCCTGATGAAGACCCAGTGGAATTTCCATCAAAGTTCACTGTGCTTCAATCCAACATTGATGTATTTCTTGTGCTTACTTATCTCATTTAGACTTCCTTCCTTCCTTCCTTCCTTCCTTCCTTCCTTCCTTCCTTCCTTCCTTCCTTCCTTCCTTCCTTCCTTCCTTCCTTCCTTCCTTCCTTCCTTCCCTCCTTCCCTCCCTCATTTTCTCAGATTTACCCACAAGGAACTATAATTTGGCATTCATTGTGACATGTGGGCCATCTTTTATTTGTGATATAATTCCATCTGAACATACAACTAGGATACATGCACATGTTCCTTATAGTTCAATAATGTAGAATTTTATTTTGTCCAATGGAATTTCCAAGGAACTCTAAAAGTCCAATATATTGACAGATTAACCAACTTTTTATTCTGATTTATCCATAGTACAGTAAAAATCTGTAATTATTTCTCTTTGCTATCTCAATATCTGGGTGGTAAAGAATTGGACCTTTAGTCCACACAGATACAGACATGCAGACAAAAGTATATGCCATGGAGATGCAACATGACGTTGCCTGTACTGTATAAAAGTTGAGACATGAAGTCTTCTCTGTATCAAACAGGCAGCAGAAACTTCCAATATAGGCTCACCAATACTCAAGAATATTTACATCTGCATCTTTCTATACATACAGTATACAAATAGTACTCTGGGAAACAATCCATAAACAACAATACATACAGCATAGAAACACATATAGAGATGTCTATAAATGCATCAATATTTAAATACATGTCCCTAAAAGAATATCTCTCCACATACAGTACAAATATGTACCAAAGATGATACCAAGCATAAAGTTATACTCATTTAGAAAAACTTTGCAAATTTTATTTTTTTAAATAAAATTGTTAATACTGCCATGATTAATAAGACAAAATATTTAAATTTTAAATGAATGGAAAGAATTCACATCCTTATTATCAGAAGCTTCTGTAATATCTTCCACAGAATATTATTACAAGAAACTCTATAATTATTTTTGTTTAAAAATCCATCCATCTAAATCAAACTTCAATAAAGTTAAATTCTTTTATTGCTTAGAGAACAGGGGCAGGTAAATCAACTACGATATACTGAAGCTGTCTTTGAAGATAACCAAGCTCTCCAAATGTCATGATGCCATAGGAGAATTTTATGTAAACCTATAAAATAGTTTGATGGAGCCAGGAGGGAAACTCTGTTTATTTAAGATAGATTGATCTTGCACTAACATTTTTATGTATCACTGCAGGGAAAGAAATGTACTTTCAAAAGCTCATTGGTTGATAAGGAGGACAACTGCGCCGGGGACTATAAACTAGGTTGTGCCACTTCTAACCCAACTTTTTCAAGAAGTCCTGCGATATGGAATTTCACTGGTTTATGAGAGCTCTCTATTGAAAACCCTTATTTCTTCTCATGTAATAAGTAAAATGAACTACGTAACTGTGGCTGTTTGGGAATGAGGGGGAGCGGTACACTATATTTTGTTTTATACGCTAATAAATCTCAGGAATAAACCTCATAGTAGTTTGTGTAACATTTGGTATCTCAGTTTTAAATCTAATATTTTAAAATGACTGCTGTGGTGGTTAATGCTGCTTCCAAAGACACATACAAATGCCACCAGGAGTTGTATTAGGTAGTATTTTAGCACATTTTTGGTCTTGTAGGCTGAAAAGATGAGATTAAACAAGACAAAGAACAATTGTTCCCCATAGATGAATCTATGCAAGAGCAATTAAGATACTCACTTTGACTGAAAGTGAACTGCCCTCCCTGTCTTCTGATTGCCTAGATTTTCTCTTTATGGAAGTGAAAGAAAAAGAGCAGTCCATTTTTACAGAAACTTAGATATATATTTTTTCTTTTGATGACCCTGCAAATAGGGTCGGAGCAACTGATTGGAGCTGAGCATTTACTGGCTGGATGCACTTCCTGATGCCTATGCAGAGTTTACAATGACAATTACTCATTGTGCTCAGAGAGAGAAATATCTGCTGCTATCTAGGATTGAACACAGTCTCCTGATTGTCAGGCGAGAGATCCACCTCTAGGTCACCACACTGCTCTGGAGAAGCTCAGAAAAAAATTGCAAAATTCTGGTGGAAGTCATTGAGCTTGAAGCTTCCTTCCATATGAATTGGAAATTCTGTTTTGGAGATTAATTCTCCATTTGATCAAAATCCTAGAAACAATTGTGTTGGAGTTTGAAGGTATTATTATTTTTTTTAACAAATGAACAAAATCAGATGTATTCATTCCAGCTGGCAGTTTGTCCACCTACAAACTACAGTATAGAATTTGTCCACTTTATGGCAGCATTAAAAGATTACAAGCTTTAATGCATGAGGGTATAACGTTTTGGCTTGCCTGAGATGCTTTGAGTGAAGAGGAATTGGGTCACATATAGCAATAGCAATAGCACTTAGACTTATATACCATTTCACAGTGCTTTACAGCCCTCCCTAAGTGGTTTACAGAGTCAGCCTATTGCCCCCAACAATCTGGGTCCTTATTTTAGCTATCTCAGAAGGATGGAAGGCTGAGTCAACCTTGAGCCGGTGAGAATTGAACTGTCGAACTCCAAGCACCCAGCAGTCAGCAGAAGTAGCCTGCAGTACTGCATTCTAACCACTGCGCCACCATAGCTCATATTATATAAAATATATAATAAGTTAATGTATATAAATCACATAATAATGTCAAAAGTGTACAATCTTATGGGGCTCCATAAGGGGTTGGGCATGCCTGATTTAATGTATCAATATGCTGACATTCTCTGTCTTTTCTCAACTAATAATCAAAATAATCATCATTGATTCCCAAATGACTTGACATGTATATTAATATAACACAAGATTACTTTTCAAATTTAACTTGACCATTGATAAGTCATATTTTAGTTGTAAGTAAAAGAGTAACCTTTTGTGTCAAGATGCTCAAGGCCCTTAAAGTAAGGCCTAGGATAAGCTGGATGGTTTAAAAAGGATGAATGTTGTTTTTAGATATGTAAAATGTTCTTGCATTGTCCTATATTTCAGTATTCCACTGAAATCAATGAACCTTTGCATATAAGCACAGAGAACTGCAATCTGAAATAATGGTTTTAAGTCATTAATTCAGTCATTGCAAAAGTTTACTTAATTATGGTTAAGGCATTTAAATTCTGGTTTTTAATTTCTATCATGGATCACTATTGTATTCTATCTTCTAAGCCAACTTTTAGTGTTTCATGGAAGACAGCTCTATCAAGGCCTGTAAATCAATACTACCTCTCTATAAGAAGGAACAATTCTCCAACCAATATAGTTGCAGGGAAATAATGGAAAAGAGTATATCTCTATCTCTTTCTTACAAGCACCTCAAAAGTACTTAGATTGGCTCTGTGAGAAACATAATGTTTGACTAAGTTAAATTTTGGTTAGATATTTTTATATTTTTACATTCTTGAGCATTCTTAACCTCATCATATCCTGTGAACACAACTGTATCTATCAAGCATCTTTTTACACCTATGTACTTTCAATTCATCATTACTCCAAGAAATTGTTCTTTTCAGACCAATTTAGGGAGATGGTGCTGAAATTTTAAAAACAAACACACTCACACACACAAACCACTGAAAATTGGAACCCTCCTAGGCAAGTCCTGTCTTCTCTGAACATTAGCTCCACAAGAAAAGAAAAGAAAATATCCACAGATTTTTCATAGGTCTCCTGAGTGAGATTTTTTTAACATGACTGTTGTGTAGATCAAACTGGTCACCTTATACATATAAGATGCACATTGTGTCATTTAAGTACTTTGGATCTTAGCAAATACCACCACTGATGACTTATAGAGGATAAATTATTTCTATTCTGCTAGACCACAGAAGAAAACTTAAATAGAATGTGCTTTTTGAGTTGACATTTATAAGCAAGAAGTAAAATATAAAAAGTGAAGAATGTAAATAAGCAATGTGTACTGTTCATTCTCATATGAACACTTATTTGATATAGATCTAGTGAACAATAACATACTGTAATTGACTCAGTAGCTTCCTACTGCACCTGATAATATTTATTCTGATATTCAGGTGGGAGGTTTTCTTACCTTCTTAACTTTAACACCCCCTTTTGGTGTTTGTTTCGTTGTAAGATTATATCCAATCATCTGTTTAGCAAGCTGTCCTACCTCTTTAGGGCTACAAAAAAAGAGGAATCAATTAATAAATTATTATATGAATATTAAAACAATTTTTAAAGAAGCAATATTTTTTTTAAAAAATGTTGCATTTACTAGACTCACTCTTTTGTTAAATGTACACCTCCTTTCAAACCGCTGCTGAACACACCTTTGCCTCTTCCTCCAGCTAAAATCTGAGCCTTCAACACAATTTCTGTTGCTTCTGTTAAGAAGAGAAAAATGTATTTAAGCTACAACCTGGATGAACCAATTTTATTATGTGACAGTTGACTGGAAAAATGCTCCTGCATATTAATGTTAAAAGAACAGCTCTGTGTTTAATTTAAGAGCATACACATGTGAATAACGCAATGCAACTTTAGATTGGCAGTCACGGAGACAATGAATAAAATGGAAAATGGTAAAAAGGGGCTCAGGAGAAATACAGGAAATTATAAGCCACTAAGGTTAACATTTGTCCCAGGAAAATAGTTGAAAACAGTAATTAAAAGAAAAAATAACATGGAGGAACAAACCTTGCTGAAGGAAAAAATCAGCATGGAATTCACCAAAGTAAAACCTGCCTCACCTATCTTGCAGAGTTTACTGAGAGTGTTAACAGGCAGATGAATGGAGATGACACTCAATACATGGATTTTCACAAAGCCTTTGACAAAGATCCTCATTAAAGCTGTTGAAGAAACTCAGGAGCCAGGAGCAGAGGAACTGGCCTTTTATGGATTGCAAGCTACTGTAGTTATTATAAGGCAGAAAGAAAAGAGTAAGAATAAATGGGCAAATTTCTCAGCAGAGAAAATTAGGGAGTGTAATTTTGCAAGGATCTGTACCGAGACCAGTGCTTTTAAACCTGTTCATAAAATAACTTGCCTTAGGGATAAGAGATGAACTAGCCCTTTCAAGAAATTAAAATCCTACTGAGTACTGACACTGTGTGTTCTTCAGATCTCCCCTTGAATCCAGCAGGAGGAGTGAGCTAGACAAGTCTGTAGATAATAGTGAACTATTCAGCCTGGTGCAAGATCCGAAAGGAATCTGATTTACATAGATGAATAGTTACCCAAATGGCAAGCACAATTAATTTTAGAAATGTAATGCAATTTAAGTAACGCAAGTGGAGGAGGAAGAAGGTTAACTTTAAATTCACATTTATGGAATTGGAACCATCTATAACTAACCAGGAACAAGACCATGGAATTATATTAGATAGCCGGACAAAAATGCCAGCTCATCTGTAACAACTCTGGAAAAGCACAAAAATCCATGCTAGGAGTCATTAGGAAAGGAATCTGCCAACATTATAATAATGCCCATAAACTAGGCATTATCAAGGAGAAAAAAAAATAAGCATCCTCACAAACGCTCCAAGTGTTGTAGTAACTATTTCTAATTGTGAACGCCTATTGAATAATAGGAGCAAGACTAACAGATAGTGACCAGGATGATTCCCTCAATACCATTACTAATGACTCACCATGACCAGCCAAGCAACATTTTAATTCTGATTCCATGCTTCGTGTGGAATGCCAAATTTATGGTGATGAAAAAGGAAAGCGGTTTTGAAAACCAGGCACAAAAAATATATATTGACAGTAAAGAACACGAACAGTTTATCAGGTTTGCCTCTTTATGCTTTCCTCTGACAGCAATTAGTAATTCTTGAAAATGGATGACTTACAGTCCAGTTAGAGAGGATGTCACTTGTGCCTTAGATTCACACGATCAGTTTTTAAAATGTCAATCCCTCTGTTTGGAGGGGGGGAGAGAAAGGGGGTGAAAGAGTTTTGTTGAAAGGGGTTAACTATTGCTAGAATTCCAGCTGGCTGAGAGGTCAGTTTCACATTTCATTTTCTAGTTGCAATATTAAGAAAAAAAACATACCTCCTCTGAAGTTATTTGCATTATGAAGATTTTTCATATTCATGCGAATAGCACCACTTTATTTATTTTCTTATCCCACCTTTATTATGTTTTAAAATAACCTAAGGTGGTGGACATATCTAATATTCCTTCCTCCTCCTATTTTCCCCACAACAACAACCCTGTGAACTGAGTTGAGTTGAGAGACAGAGTGACTGTCCAAAAGTCCACCAGCAGATTTCATGCCTGAAGCAGGACTAGAACTCACAGTCTCCTGGTTTTTAACCTGGTGCCTTAACCAAACATGGTCACTGTCCAAAGTTTGGGAACTAATATGAATACAAATTTTAAATATAGTCACATGCTATATAACTTCCACAGCTCTTCTGTTATCTGCTTTGTGTTCTTGCTATCTTATTTTTTCCAGAGAAGAAAAATTGCAGATACAATACTCCAATGTATTTTCCTCCAAAAAAGAGGCCAGGTAAAAGCCCAAATTAGACAAATCAATGCCAATCATTATGCAGAGGAGTGGTCTACAAGAGATATGAATAATCTGGGCACATAAATACAGGGCTGGATTAGATAATTACTCTGCTACAATCTCTACTGTCCATAGAGAAAAGCAAATAATTGCCTAGCCGTGTTGCTCTAAAATAAAATTAATCTCCAGTTACAGAGATATAATAATAATAATAATAATAATAATAATAATAATAATAATAATAACAATAATAATAATAATAATAGGAGGAGGAGGAGGAGGAGGAGGGGGAGGTGTCTTAAGTGCAATCCCAAAACAACTGGAGCACTACTTGAACACCACTGACATTAACAAATTCGCCATTAGTCAATTGTAAAAGGCAGCCTTACTAGGAACTGCTTCCATCCTGAAACAATATCTGTAATACCATCAAACATCCACATCTGCCTATCCCAGGTCCTTGGTAAGGACTCAATAGGTAGACAAAAATGTCAAATCCAGTCTGAACATCTGGCTAAGTGTGCGATGATCCATAATAATAACAACAAAAACAACAACAATAATAATTGAGTTGGAAGGGACCTTGGAGGTGTTCTAGTCCAACTCCCTGCTCAGACAGGAAACCTTATACCAGTTCAGACAAATGACTGTTCAGTCTCTTTTTAAAAACCTCCAGTGTTGGAGCATTCACAACTTCCGGAGGCAGGTTGTTCCACTGATTAATTGTTCTGTCAGGAAGTTTCTCCTTAGTTCTAGGTTGCTTCTCTCCTTGATTAGTTTCCATCAGTTGCCTTCAGGTGGTTTGGAGAATAGCTTGACTCCCTCTTCTTTGTGGCAACCCCTGAGATATTCAATATACAGCTGTCATATTAAAAGTTAAAATTCAGTAATAACTTTTGGAGGCTTCTGAAGGGCTGCAACCATGGCTTTGGAAGTCTGGATACGGTCCCAGGTTGTATACTTGTGCGGTACACGGCTGGAAGCAAAGTGTTTAGGAATCATCAGGAAACAGGATTTAAGCAAAGTGCTTAGAATCATCAGGATTTTAAAGAGATGGGGGATGCCCTGGAGGCATTGAGTTACAGATAGCACATAAAAAATACAGACTGAAAGCAAGAAAGATTATCACCAAGCAAGAAAAAAATCTTTAATCTATTGTACTGTAAATCCATATTACAAAAGAGTACAGTTAAAGTAGAAAAAAGACATTTTTCTTTCCAGATAGCTTACACATGGCATACGCTAAAAAATATCTATTTCCAAGCGTTTACTTTTCATATATATTGCTCTAAGCCACAAACCCTTCTATTTCAACATCTGCCTTGCATTCTAATATACCTCCTATCTCAGTCCTAGATTTTCTAAATAATTCATTATCACCCCCAAGGGTAGAATTCAAGAAAACGCAAATGAACCCTCCCCTGCTCCGAAGATCCAGTTTTAGTTCTGTGTTGTCCAGCATACAAATTATCAGGATGAACGTTCAAATAAATTATGATCCAGGAGATAGTATTAATAACCAAAAATCACTCTGTCCATTGTGACAGAACATTTATTTTGTTACTGTTAATAGCCACTATGAGTATTTAATTATTTTTAACACTTTCAGAGAAGAAATGGTGAACTGAAAATGGCTCTGCAAAAAATAGAGCCAGTGAGTGTGGTAGATTGAACTGCTGGTGAGAGGACCAGCTCTTTGGAATTCCTTTCTGGACAAGGAAAGAACTTGAGTTTGCCCACAAGTGCTCCAGACAATGAGCTCCAGTGGGTTTAAAACTCTGGGAGAGCAGCTAACACCATCTTCACTCACATCAGTTGAGTGAAGTCAGTTCCTTTTCAAAGGGCACCAGATTCACATACTTCCTTTTCTAATCGCTTTCGGAAATTGCTTGTGAGCTGCTTTTCAGCTATTAGGAACCTTTAGATTGACACTGGGTGAGTTTCTTCCAATCATTAGTAAAAGAAGTTTAAATACAAGTTCAAGGACTTTAAAAATTATTTTGAAATAAACAGCAAAAGGTTGATTAGAACTTTGATTTTAGAAAGTTATAAATGGATTAAAGGCCCAGATGGATTTGATTTTTGAATTAATTATAAGAATCTTCCCATGTTTTGAATTCTTTAAAAAATATGAAAGGATGGAACTTTGAAAGTTGGATATTAGAAGGAACTAGAAGGAATTAAAGATTCCAATTAAAGAAAAGAACACTTCAATTTGACTTACAATACAGAGTGGAGCAAAATAGAGCATTAGATATATTAAATTATATTTTTGAACAATAGATCCAGATGTTAAACTTAAGGGCATCTGTCATGATAGACAGTGTTTGGAAGATGTTATGTAAGAGGAACAAGTTTTACTAGAAAGATTGATAGTTATCTAAAAGTGAATTTTAAAATGACAGACTACAAGAACGATATGGAAAAAAGATACTACACTGGGTATACAAATGAAACCATTTGATGTCTTAATAATTAAAAAGGATATACAAATAACAAACTAAAAGAGCAATCTATTTTGGATTTACAAAGGAGATTTGTTAAAGTTTTGAAAAAAATTGTGCAAAGGAACAAAGAAAAAAAATAAGCAAGTTCTAGGACATTATTTGAATGGATTAAAGATCAAGATAAGAATCCTTATCATGTTTTGAATTCTTTAAAAGAAATATGAAAGGATAAGATTTTGAAGGTTGTGCATTAGAAGGAACTAGAAAGAATTAAAGATTACAGATAAAGGAGAAGAACACTTAAATTTCTACTACTAATACAGAATGGAACAAAATGAGACATATTATTATTTTTTCTTCAAAGACCTAGATTATAGAAAGAAGATTATTATAATATAACTTGAGAGATTAAAATATAATTGTAGTCATAACTGTTGTGAATATTAGAAACCATTTCTCTGCATCCTTTTTCTTTCTTTTCTATTTTTCTTTTTATGTCTTTCTGAACATTGTTTTCTTGTTTTTTCCCCCTTTTTTATTTGTTAGTATGATGCCGATCATTATTCTTTGTGCCACAAGCTTTTCAGGCCAAATCAATTATAATTAGAACTTATATACTGATTACTTTTATGTTGGCACCATATAAAGGCGAAAAAGGCTGGGGTTGGAAGAAGCAAACTGAACAGATATTTTTAATTTTATCAAACTTGTCAAAAGAGCACTGAGGCAGCAAAATATCTTACATGCAACCATTATGAAAGAAGTAAATAAATCCATAAGCAAAGGAAGCCTAACTATCTAAAGCAGGGGTATCAAACTGGCGGCCTGCGGGCCAGATGTATCATGTGCAGGCCATGCTCATCCTGGCTCCGCAAAG